TACTGAAAACGCTAAGTTTTCTAAACCAGTTTTCTGTTTCACAAAGAGAGTTTCTTCAACCTTTGTTTCAGTCACTGTATAACATTCTCCCCAGAGCCAACCTGGTCGGGAGCCGGTTTTGTTCAGTAAACTCAGAATCTCCTCTGTCTCCGCTCCCCTTAGAGCCAATTCATTGATTCACTTTATGGATCTCACAGTGGAGACATGTACTCGTTACATCAGCTCAAATAGTCAAAGAAGAAGAATGTGCCAAAGGAAGAAAAGGGTGCATGGCTTATATCTTGTATTTACAGTATGTCCACCTATGACATCTTTTGTTTTTTGTTTTTTGTAGTAGGATCATTATACAGGATTATTTCACAGCGTGGCAACATGGGTATCTATATATAGATGGATATTTATATATATATTTATTGCACTGGGTGTCAAATATAGAGAAACAGGTTATTGCACAGGGTATCAAATAGTAATTGCACATTGTACACTGCACAAGTAATTTCCGTTGTAGTGCCGCATTCCATGGACTTGTTAAAAGTTGTTAAAAGGACTTGTTAAAAGTTGTTAGGAGAGCTTGGGGCATAGGAGGGCTGCAGGTGGAAGGAACTGTCATCACACTCGTAGTGCGGCTGGGATTCACATGGAAAATAATATAATATAGTGTACTTTTTCTAGATGTTTATTCATTTGCATAGTGCTCTTAAATAAACAAATTCTTAATGTAATTCTTAGTTCATGAAGCTAACTAAGCTAACTAATAGCTTCTCCGTTATTAAACAAGTACATTATTTTTTTTAGGTTTGTGACACAATATTGGACCATGCAAAACACAGATTTGCCTTCACAAAGCCTGCAAAGGGCAAGATGTATGTACAAAAAGGAAAACCTGTTCATTTTTATAATGTTGTTTTTTGTTGTTGGCATTCTTATAGATATAATGGTGTCATAACTTAGTATATGTTTGATTGGTTTGCTGTCTATTTTGAATTTATAGCCCCCTGGAAAAAACTCCACCAGCCACCACTGCTATCATGGCATATTGTTAGCTTCTATAAATGTAGTTTATTGAAGCTAAAGTTTTGGTTTAACTCTGCCCACCACTGACAACAAGTATAACATCATGTTTAAATAAAACGAAACATAATAAGGGGAATTGAAACACACAGATGACAAAACCAAAATCTATTGCAGCCAGAATTCATTTAGTATCCTACATTATCCCTCAGAGGGAAAATTCAATGGTACCAGAAACAAGGATCCAATCCCATCCAACTTTATTTACTTATAAAGCACTTAAAACACTGAGGCTAAAGTGCTATACAGATTAAAAGTGAAATATAGGTTACACAAAGAAAAGTCAAAATAAAAAATAATGAAATATTTGGGGAAAAAAACAATGTAAAACAACATAAATCGACATAAAATCAAAACCCAACTAAGTTTAAAAAGCCAGAGAGAAAATATTGTTTAAAAAAAAAGACTGAAAAAGGATGAGAAGAATACTTTCTAATGTACAGTAGCAGATCATTGATCAGTTTAAGACTGCCAACAGAGAAGACCAGGTCCCCTCTGAGCTTATGCTAGGTTCTAGGTAATGACAAGAGCTAAAAGTTGGCTCAACTAAGAAGACTAGATCTCACATAACATAATCTTAAAACTGATCCTATAATGGAAGGGCAGCAAGTAGATTGTACTCAAATCTTTTTGAGATAAAACATATCGACAAGCATTCTGCACCTGAAGACTGATTAAGGACCCACTAATGCCAAAATAAAGTGTGGTACAGTTATCCAGCCGTATCTCACTAAGGATGGATTAATGTCTCCAAGATACTCTTAGGCCAATCTGTTATGTCCAAAGCATGTTTATTCACACAAAGGCAAACTGTGTAGTTAAGATACTCTGATGGACAAAAAACACTGTAATGTTCTGCAAAACTCAAGGCAGACATTTAAATTTAGATCAACATTTCTAAATATACATTCCACTAAACCATAATACAAAAATGTCAATATACAGCTCAAAATGATCATACAATGTAGAAATCAGTACTGGATTTATAAAATCAAGGATGCATATCTGTGTTTCCAGCATGCCAACCTAGGGATCGTTTTCTATTCATCTTTGTTTGGATAAAAGTCACTGATAGCCCTCCATTAGGTATCAGCAAAGTGAATTAAACAGCTGTTAGGAAGTACAACATAACGCAATATTATTAATGATAATTAACAAAGAATGCCAGGTTTTACAAATGTACAATAATCTCTTTGCACAATAAAAAAGTCAGTTTATGTCATAAAGATGGAAACTTAAAAGTTTTAACAACCTGATCATCAAATATAGAAAAATTAAGCACTTTGAAATTCGGTGTCTCAGGAAAGTATCTGTTTAAAAACAAAACAAAAAGAACTATTTGACAGAAAGGTGTAAGAAGTGCAGGATTACCTGAAACCTTAGAGGCAAAACAAACCCTCTCACTAAGGCTTTTACTGAGTCTAAAGCTATTTCATCCACAGCCACAACAAGCAAAGATATCAGATTTAACTCTCCAATTTCTTGTGTTAACCAACTCATGAACTACAAAGATTTAGAAACATCTTACCAAATATGTGCTGGGACATTTTAGAGCACTGTTTATAGCCAGCAATGTTGCCTGACATAAACCAAAGAAAAGAATCAAGGGAATATGGTTAAAAAACTTAAAATATTAACTGCTTAAACTGTACAGCAGGGGTTTCCATAATATTCAGGTTTGACCCCCAAACATAAAAGTGTAAAAGGCTTATGACCCAAGGTATTAATTGGGTAAAGTTTTAAATCAGTTAAAACAGGGAAAGATGACGAGGAAAAACTAAATCTATGCAGAAATGTTGTTTTTCGTCTGATGTTTATGTGATTAATATGCTTTGCCTTTGGATGGTTATTGATTTTGATTTCTGAAATTGATCTGAGGACCCTACACCTCTTGATTTGTAAACCAAGTTATGACCTCAGGCTTCAAGTTCCAAAAAACAAAAGCAAAATTTCAATGACATGCCAATATACTTGTCATGGTTTTGGTTTTGTTTAAGTTTTATCTCTGAGTTTTCATTGGTCTTATTTCGATTCTTGTGTTCTAGGTATTTTTGATTGTATTTGAGTTCTTAGATATTTCCTGTTTGCTCTCTTGTCTCAGTCTCCTTTACCCTAGCTCCCTTCCTGCCTCTGTTCACACCAGCTTCCAATCTGCTATTTAGCCCGTTCTTTGTTTCTCTCTCCCATTTATTCTCCTTCTGCTCAGTCACTCTTTGCTGATTTGTTGTCATTACTTTGTCCCCTTCTTGTTGTGAGTATTCCTGGTTTTCAGAATTTTTGGATTTTTGCTGGATTTATGTTTTTGGACTTTTACTTCTGTTGAACTTTTGTTATTAAACCTTCAAGTAAACTCCTTCAGCTCAGTCTGCATTTGGGTCCTCCTGTCAAACCTCCCCCTTTGTGACAATACTAATATCTAATATAGCCCTCTGTCTAGACATTTTTTAAACTATATATTTATTTTACAAAAACAATGACACAATTCAATGACCAAGCTAAGGCTAACAGTTTAGCCTCACCAAAAATGTATTTTTATCAAACACAAAGGGGTAAATCGTTACTTCAAAACAGCCTTTCTAGGTTTATTTTGTGGTTGAGCAGAGAACACATGTTCAAAGTGGGACATACCAGTATCTACATATTTAAAACCAGATGTGGGTACAGTACCCTAAAGTTGTATTCAAGTAAAAATAGCTCTACTTTAAAATGTTTTGCCCAAGTAAAAAAAAGTTTTGGGTAAAAAGGCTACTTGAGTACTGAGTAAATGTTGGACAATAACATCAGATTATATTTTTTATAAATGATGCTGGCAAACAGACTTAATGTATAAATTCAGGCATTTTAAAGACTCAAATGCCTAAAGAATAACAATAAATTTCATGGATATAAAAGAACAAATTTATGCACAAGGACTAATATATATTGTTCTATTTAAATAACACTTAGAAAACCAGTCTTTCCAATGAGAACTGTATATATGTTAGGACAGGGTAACAAACTTCCACAGTTAATATCTGCTGTTTACTGTATGTTTACCTGATTCTAGAATAGGTGAAATTACTCACAGAGGACAAAGGAGAGATTTTATTAGAGTAGGAGGGCGATACCTTACAAGAATATTACTTAAGTAAAAATAAAAAGTATGGCACAATAAACATACAACATAAAAGTGCATATTTTATTGTTACTCAATTAAATATATCTGAGTAAATATAAATAATTACTAGACCCCTGTGTTTAAAACTTCCTTTATATTCTGTCTAATAAGCTATAATTGCTAATGTGATATTATACATCCTGACTCTGCCAGCGAACTGAAACTGTGTGTTCACAAGTCCAGATCCTGTGTTTGGACTGCATGCATTACAGTCTACTACCTCAATGAAATTAAAACAACATATTGGAAACTAATTCATAAGATTTTATTCTTGAAATGTATTAGGTTCTGCAATACAAATAATTAAACAACATTATTGTTTTAAACCACCTCTCTCATGAGGCTGTGGATTTATTTACTGTGGATTTGTGTAAACATGTTTCTTCTGCTATGAAACTGAGGCGGTTTCTTGTTTTTTTCAATCCTCTTTAGATTTCACAAGCAGAGAAAATGCAATAACTGCAACACTGTATCTGTGTGTTGCAGTGTTTTTTTGTTTTGTTTTCCAGACAGTGCTTGTTTTTTTTAATAAACAGTCCATACAGTAAACTTGTAATCTTGTTTAAACATATCAAAAATAGGCAACTCTTTTCTTTGGTAGGTATAAAGCAAAGAGCTTTTTTCTGTATTAAAATTTAACAATTAAAAAAAAGAGTTTTATACTTTTATATAAAATATGTTTCAAATGGCTTTCTGTTTAAAACTGATCTTAATATCTGGAGTGCCTTCATTCCAGTGACATATCACCATAAGTGTTCATTATAAACTTACGATATCTGAACTTACAGAAATTGTGCATGTTGCGGAATCTATTTTTATTGTTCCCCCTCTATGGCACACAGACCTCAGCCTCTTTACAAACTGGTGGTGTTCAGCAGCTGCTTGGCTGCAGGGCCATCCTCTTTGCTTTCTGAGAGTTTACTATCTGAAGCCCTAGCCGTCTGCGCTTCCATGCGTTTGATGTCAAACACATCCCACTTGTTTGACAGAAGGCCTCTGTTGAAAATTTGGGATGCCAACCAAGAAAAGAATAAAATGGACAGCAATGACATGAGCATTATAGTTGTGCGGAAGGGGAAGAACTGGGTCAATTTCCCCTCCTTGTCCAACCGACAGCCAGGGAATCTGATGGCGGGTGGTAGGCCTATGAGTGGCTCGCCACTCAGGACCCTCATGACGAAGCCCAGGATGTAGCCCACACAGGCTCCATAACCATTGGACACCTTAAAGAAGAGGACGCAGACCAGCTGAGGAAACATTATGGTGTAGGACATGTCTACGCCCACGATCCAGAAGACCAAGACGCTGCTGTCCAAGAAGGTGAGGCCAGTGCCAGCTAAACCCACCACTACCACTGAGATCCGGATCACCCACTGCATCTCGTTGTCTGAGGCCTGAGGGAGAAATAACAAAGGTGAATAATATAAAAACTTTTGTGTTAGGACATGAAAAGCAACAGCAAAGTGGAGCATCAGATGCAGAATTCATTTAGTGCTGAAATGCCGTTACACTAATGTTTCTCTGGGTTCAACAACTCTCCTTTCATCTGTATAGACTATAATAGCAAGTGAAAAGATAAACTACACCTGTCATTTAGAATGAGAGTGAATTCACTTCTTTTTTGTGAGATTTACCATTTAGCTGTTCAATCTAATGGTGCGGTAAGTGGCCTTTTTGATAAGGGGGGCATTGTACTCTTTGAGAAATGTTGGTCTTTGGAAAGATCTAATCGTATTACTGAGAGATTAACACTTAAAACATGAATGTAAATATTTTGATTGTACTTCCTATTTAAGCCACAGGTATTTCACCTAAAAAAAAATATGACCTACAAATGGTTTTAACAATAGCAAATCAGTGTTTTTTTTTTAACACAAATCTGGAAAGTGAGATCTTTATATGTTCCTCTGAGTCAATACTGGAACCATCTTTGATTATAATCACACCTGCAACTCTTTTGATGTGTTCTAAAGGCAGAGGCAATATGTTTTACCTGTTCTTCATTAACAATAATCTTAGTTTCCTTGCATTGGTTTTAAAGCATCGTTAAAAATAAACATTAAAGTCCCAGTTGGATGTTGGTCTTAAACCTGGACCATTTCAAACAGAAGCTAGAGCTAAGACGAAATGTGGAAAAAATCAAAATTTTCTTGCAGCTCACTCATTATGCTCCCGTGATCTTACTTGCTTCCTGATGATGTTCTTGTAGATATTTGAAGAGAACAACGAAGCCGAGGAGAGTAGGGCGGAGTCCATGGAGGACATGACAGCAGCAGCAACAGCTCCAATGCCAATGACGGACACATAGGTGGGTGTGAGGAAGTGCAATGCAATAGGGAGAATGGATCCCGCTTCACTGCGCTCATACGGGCTGGGCAATCCATATGTAGTTGAGTTCCAGTCTGGGAATAATTACACAAAACATTTAGGGATACTGAGAGCCATGCAGAAATAATGCTGATCCTAACGTCTTAGTGGGGAAAATACACATATGGGCAATAAACCGGAGGATTTCATATTGTACGTTTCATCAGGTTGAAGTTAAAGAGGTGCACCTGTAGATGCAGCCACAGCCCCAACCAGGATAGATGGGATACCCAGCACCAGGCAGAAGGCTGCTGAAGCAAAGCAGGTCACTTGAGCCTGGGTGTAAGATGAGGAGGAAAGGATTCTTTGGTAGAACGCCTGGTAGGCCAATCCGCCCAGAGCCTGATTAAAAAAACACACAGTTCCGACATGATGACAGGAAATAGCCTCTAATATAGGACAAGAGGAAGAGACATGACTCCCCCCCCACACACACACACACACAAACACCCACTGTTGTTATGCTTGGCTGTTCTCTCACCTAATGAAAAGCTTATTAAGATAAACAACTTGTCTATACTTCATCTAAGTGTTGAGGTGGCAGGAAATATCATTTATCCTCCCCTGCATTAATGCAGAGCTTTCCTCCAAAGCTCCTCTCACCAGCAGCATGAAGTCGTCAAACCACTTGCCGGCCTCATTGAGCTCCACTGTGCCCACCCAGGGGGCCTGGAAAGTCTGGTTGTACGCTGTGAGCGAAATGTCCATGGAGTGAGGATTGGTCAACAGAAAGGGAACGCACACCCACTGTAAACACAAAAACATAATCTCAATACTTTTCCAGCAGGTGAGGCTTTAAGGCTTTATCTAAAACATTTTAATGTCTTTTTATTCCCTTTAAACTCCTTAAAAAAAAAAAACAGACTGCTGCCCTAAACCCAAAGGTTAGCATTTACGCACCAGGCTAACAAAAATGAGGATAAGCTGGATGACATCAGTGTAGGCCACAGAGTACAGCCCTCCCAGCAGGGTGTAGACGATGGCCACCACTGCAGAGATGATGATGGAGTAGACATAAGGCAGGTCCAGGATCACCCTCATGGTCCCACCTGGAACAACACAGCAGAGTGATGTGTCCTGAAGGAGCGACATGGACACCATCTTAGTCTCCGTGGCTGCATGCACATTTTTACTAGGAGATTGCTTAATAAAATGTTAGATCATGTTAGGTCCATTGTCATTCTCTCACACAGACAGATTTAGATGCATTCCCTTCTGTTTGTACACATATTCTAATATATTGTATTTACATTTTAACTTCAACAAGAATATCATATCATACTTTTGTGTAATTTAAGCCAATTTACACACATATTTCAAGGCCTAGTGACTATAGTTAAAACCTGTAAATGGTTTCAGAATCTGCAATAAAGCAACAAGTCAACAGAAAAGATACAACAGGACCATAAGAAATATTTCTGTTTTTACTTACAGATTGAGACAATATTTTCACCCTCTTGGGCTCATTAATAGTTAAATTCTCATGTTTTAAAGAAAAACAGTGGACATAGGTATGTAATAAAACAAGTGTATAAAATCAACAATCTGTGCATAAACAAGTGCATAAATAAGACATCTTGTTACTGAAACAAGGCAAGCAAAGCATCACTACCTTCACCGTCTCTTCTCCCACATTGCCGTGGATCCCCCTGCAGCAGCCTGCAGCCACACCACAACAAAGCCCTTAAACAGAGAAGTGTCAGATCTGCACCATCTATCGCCACTTAACACCCTGTGGACAGTTCACCTCTACCCTCCATCTACTGACTAGTCCCACCACCCTCCCTGTCTCTATTAGGCCTCTTTAGGTCAGACCCTTACCATCTCTGTGAAATCAAAACTGTCCAGATGCTTCAAAAAGGTTCATACCCCTTGGACATTATCACCTCTGGTCACATTACAACAACAAATCCCAAAGGAGTTTAGGGAGTTTGTCTGTGATAGATGAGTTGAAGGTATAGGAGACATGCTTTTGAAAGTTCTTTAGATATAAATATCTGAGAGTAGTGAAATGTATTCATTGCCCTTTACTCAGATGAATTCCAGTGTGACAACTCCTTCAGATGCTTTTAATTGACCTTATTCACTTGTGAAGATCTCAATGGTCTATTGGGGAACACAAGAAACAAACCAAGGAAGACTGCAAACAGGTCAAGAAGAAAGTTGTGAAGAATAAAAAGAAGAAAGTTGAGCCCTGTAGAAGTTTATTTATTGTTCTCAAATGTTAATTCTAGTGTTGAGTTTTTAAGCAGGTTTTGTATTCTCTTCTGTGTTAATTTTTTTCCCCTATTTTTATTGTTCATCCGTTTTTCCTTATTGATCTTTATATCATGTGTTCTGCTTCTGGGTCCTCTGTCCATTAAATTTTTCACTGTTCCTTTTGTTCAGTTCTCTGCTCTGACTCTGATTGTACTCACCTATCCTCCATGTCACAAATCTCCCCTCCACTTTTGAATTCCCTGTTTACTTGTGTTTTTATCTGTCTGCTCATCTCCTAGGGTCTGATCTTTCAAGCTTGGTTACAAAAAAAAGGCTTGAAAGGTCTGTATCTCACTTTCCGTGAAATGGATGGTCCCTCACATCAACTCTGAACTTTTGGAGGAAAATAGAAAATAGTGACACACACAGTGAGGTAAAGAACTAAAGTTAGATGAATCTTCTGAGATATTAAAAAATCAGGTCATATGAGACATTTTTCATAGGTCTATGTCTCCATTAGCATCCAATATCTCAGTTTAAATATGTATATACACAACTTATGTGTGAATTAACAAAGACAGAATATACCTCAGACACTGTAGAGTTCAGCCTGCACCAACTGGTTCTATATAGGTCTTTCAATTCAGTTCACTTCAAGTCATGATTCAGTTCAATTCAATGCAATTTGATGTATTTATATAGCTCCAATTCACAACACATCATGTCAAGGCTACTTACAGAGACAGTTAAATAATATCAAATTGGCAGATTGGTAAATCGTTTTCTTTCTAAGGAAAACCAGCTGATTGCAAAGATTCAACAGCAATCCCTCACACAGAGCATGCATGCAGTGACAGTGGAGAGGAAAAGCTTCCATTTAACAGGAAGAAACCCCCAGCAGAACCAGGATTCCTGTGAGCAACCTTCTGCCAAGGCTGACTGGGGTTCAAGGGGAGAGAAGCAGACATACAAGAGGAACATAGAAGCACTGCTCTAAAAATACTTTCTATGTTAGAAAAGTTACCAGTTCTAGTGCCTCAGGTGGCTCTGTCTAGAAAAGAAACAGTTAAGCAGACAAGCTCGAACCAGTGATACCTCATTCATTTTTTTTTTATATATGGGTAAATAATCACCAGTAATAGAAAGGCTTTGACAAGTCTTGACCATCTAATTAGAATTTGCATATTTTATTTTTAACAACTTTTGATGGTATATATTATTTTTGCTGATTAATTTCTTTTTATTTTATATTTTGTTTTTAATAAATATGTCTTACAATTTCTGTGTAAGTCAGCTAGAATGACATGGCATGGATGTCATTGTTTTAATCAGTTTACCCATTTCTAAATCTGGAATATTATTTGTGTAAGGTAATTTTGGGTTCAGAATGTAAAAGTTGCAAATGGATGTTTTGATATTTTCTCTCTGATAAAACTGAGCTGGAGCCATTTAGCAAAAATATAGAGTCACACTAAAAGATCTGAAGGTTTAATTAAATTTAAGGGTGGTCCAACAAAGTGTTATCAGTGGGTTATTGAATGCATTTGTACACTATACAATTGACTGGTTAAACACTTTAAAAAGCATGTATCCTCTGCTGTGTTGGGTTGTTGAACATCGAAAAAATACAGATTTTGGCTGAAAAATGTAAAAATGTTCAAGGAGTATGAAATACTCTTGCAAAACATTAAATCTTTTACTTTCTGTATTTATTAACATGGTTTGGAAGATGGTCCTTTTGCCTATAATCTAATACCTGAATATAGTGGTTACTGAATTTATTCCCCTTCTTTGTATTTTTATCAAATCTGGAAAATTGTTTTTTTATCTCTTGGTTTTAACCGCTTATCCCAGCTGGGGTTGTGAGGGGTCGCTGGTGCCTATCTGGAATTGTCAATGGGTGAGGGGTGGGGTACACCCTGGATCGGATGCCGCCTCATCGTAGGGCAACGTTGTTATTTTATTTAAATGAAAATCTGTTGGGCAGAGACAGTAAAATGCATCTGTGTGAGCTGAAATTCATAGGAACTAAATTAGACTAACCAAATCTAGACTTGACCTAGTTATGTCTGCATGAACATCCAGATCTAGCCTGGTCCTTGAGTTGTCCGCTCTTTAACTGACTCATATGATGTGGCATGACGTAGCAGCAGCTGCATCGTAAATAATTTGTGGGAGGTCTGCTTACCGGACCACTTCTTATCTGAGCTCTGACTCCTCTGTACTGAATGCAGGAAGAGGAAATGTGAACGATTGGAAGATTTAACCTGCAGCATCAGAAATGGGCCAATATGCCCCCTGTGTTGTTTTTATTTAGACTCTTGCCCCACTTCCATCCACTTGAATATGTCCGCATGCACAGGCACAAACAACCACACACTTTGCTTTGGTTCTGTTCTATTACAGACTTCTTCCTGGCAGAAATGTGACACTAAGTGAGAGCTGATAGCATTCTGGTATGCAACCAGGCATGGAAAGTGTGTTTTAGATGTTGAGCAGCTCCTGGAGCTGAGCCATCAGCAAACCAGAAATTCAGACAGTCCATACGACACAAACAGACTCTGCAGTGGGTCAGTTGCTCTCAGAACTTATAGAAGTTATATGAGTGTTTCTATTCATGTGCATATCCACTGCTTGACTGCATGTCAAAGGCCTCTGAATAAATGTCCCAAAAGCAACAACAGGGGATAATTTTTAAAGGTTGTAAGTTTCTTCTTTGTATTGTTGCATTGATAAAAGAGAATCTATCAGTGGCTGTTTTTAAAAAATGATCGGTTGCAGAGCCTCTTAAGCTGTTAATAGCTCGGGCTTTTCAAATCTTTTTCAAAAATTGTTGGACAAAAAATATCTACAATGTCATGCAAACATATTCATATACATTCATATACAACTTTTTCAGTTTTTATTAATTCTTAAGTCAAAGGGTATTTTATTTGAGCTATTTGATAGAGCAATAAAAAGTAGTGCAAGCCTGTGAAAAGCAATATGATTTCATATCTTTGGGGTTTTACGTTTGTAAAAAAAAAAAAAAAAAAAAAAAAAAAGGAAAACCCGATTTTTTATTATCTCTCTGTTTAATCATAAGAACTCAAAATATTTTTCTAAATTAACAGTCACCAAAGTTTATAATTAACACCCACATTAATTCAAAACTTGCGAGCACAGTTC